TAACGTTTCTTTCTTTCTTTTCATATTCTATGGGAAATTGCAGGGAGTAAGTATCAGTTTACTATTTCACAGTAAAATAATATAATCCGATGCACTCTATGAGGACTATTTCGCTTTAAATACTTGTGTGACATTAATGGATTGACGGAAATGTAACGTTTCTTTCTTTTCATATTCAATGGAAAATTGCAGAGTGTGAGTATTAGTTTCCCCGACACCGCATATATAATATTTTGAGATGCACTCAACAGCTTGAGATTGTTCTGTTTCTTTACTACTATCAATATAATTTGAACAAAATCTTTTTTCCCCCCTGCTCTCTCAATGAATTGTTGCAGTGTGTAAGTATATTTTTATATTTAAATGCATAACCGCATAACATATACACATACTATTTGTGAGGTCAATCTTATTTTTTTTTTGATCTGCTATTTCACCTTGGTCAATGAAATATCACAGAATGTAAATAAGTTTTGCAATAGTTTCTTACAGCGATACATTTTAGACTATAAGCTCAAATTCACTATTTCAGGTTAAAAATATCTACTTGAGATAAATTTAGAAAATGGGGATATACTTGTCAATATTCTGCTGCATATGAAAAATAATAATCAATTGGACCCCAAATCGGCAGATGTAGTGTTTTATTGTTTTTATTAGCTCCTTGCAAGTTTGACGAAAGAATTATTTTTTTGAGCGCGATGCCATTCACAAATATTAATGAGCATGTTAGTGTGTACCTGTTCTCCCCACTAATGATAATGTATTGCATACTTTGATATAGTTTCTATTGGTTGACAGCAATAAAATATTAGAAATGAAACAAAATACAAAATGTCAGTCACTGATATTTCTGAATTCAAATATTTTGTATATTCACCAGATTTGTTTTTTAGCTCTGCTGTCATTGTAGATGAAAGTGGATCTGTTCATATAAAAGTGATTGTTCATACATCGTCGTCCGTCAATAATTGCATTTTCAACTTTATGAAAACTGCCAACTGAATTGCTTTGATACTTGGTATTGAATTAGGCTGGCAGTTTTCAAGAAGTATTATGGGTATGCGTTGCTTGGCTCGGCTACCACAATGTTCTTGTTTATTTTCCTCGTAATTCATGAAATAGGTAGCCATTATCAATAATGGTACTACAACAAAATCAGAAAGCTAAGACCCTTTTGGGGAGGGGCTCAAAATGGCCCTTTCCTGTTTAACTTAAATCCAAGTTAGCTGCCAAACCAAGTCGATCACTCACAAATCTGAAAGTTGTGTGCACCATTTCTTATAGTCCCGAATTTTCATGTCCAGGGGCAACAGTGTTCAAGTTCTGGGATGACAAAGAAATGGCAGAAGAAGAAAAATTCTAACAAGAACAATAAGATCCAAACGGACTTGGTCTCTAATAATACTATTAGTGACTCGCCACTGTTCAGATTCTTTTGACAGCCAAGGTAATATTAGTTTCTCTTGATTAATTGCCAAATTGTCTTACTACAGTAAACCTGGAATCTGCATTGCTGCACCATGAGGCGTGTATTGAAATTGCCAGAGGTTGTATAATGTGTGTTGGCCCATATTGTACAGGGAAGTCATCGACAATAAGGACTCTCTTTGGTGAACCCTTTGTGAAGAAATATACAAGTACAGATGGTATTAAAACGTATGGGCTCGATATATTTAGTTGGATAAAGCGAGGTGAGATTGAATAATTTCATTTGTGGAAAACTAGTGTTGTGACACTTGTATTTAAACTCAATTCATCAAAACATATCAGTATATAACTAACAGAATGGCGGGCATTTTAGTTCACAAAATTTACCAAAATCCAGCATTTCTGCTATTCCAGACTATGATCTCGGTCGTGCATATATATATTTCATTCAAATTTGGTATGTCTATTGAACGTAACGAGTCCTAACGAGCATTTTTTTACACATCGAATTGAAAATGGTCGATGATGATGCATTGCGGCCATTTTGTTTAACAAATGCCATTCCAAGGACATATCTCTATAACACACATTAACCAATTGCACTCAACCTTAACTCTTACATCTTGTATCATATATATGCACAAGCCTTTGTTTAATGATCCAAGAAAGAGCACCAGCATCAGGCTTTAAGTGCCCTCTTCTGTCAACGAGTTTTTCAGGTTCACGCCATGCATACACGCGCCTGTATATTGCTGTTAACTCAAGTACATAAATAAATCATACAATTAAAAAGAGAAGCCACTGCTGTGTAATTAATTTTAAATACTCTATTCAACAATAAACAGTACTTACATTTAATTGCAAAAATATTACTTTTAATTATTGCATCTTTAATTTACAGATAACAATGAATATTTTTGTCATATGAGCGAGGACGAAATTAAACTTTTACTTGGTGACATTATTCCATTGGTGGAGTGTGATGGCTATGCTAAAACCTCAGAAGCTAATATCATTACTGAATTG